CAGTTTATAACCTCAATTCAGATCGGTTAGTAAAGTCTAAGTGGTTTCAATTTTTATTTTCGTTGATATGGATGAAGCTAAGGATAAAGTTTGGAATAATTTTCCAGGCTGTGAGTGCTTTAAATTCATATTAATAAGTTCTGGTTATGACAATTTGGCAAGTTTAAAGTGCATAAATAGTGAACTTGTTATTGAACTAGAGAAAAACGTCGATAAAAATCGTAGCATTTTGGAAAATTTGACATGCGACCACAAAAATAAATATTTGGAACAGAACACATTCAAATTTCTCCACGGTCATCGAACATTACTTATAGACTGGTGCGAAAACCAATTAAAAAATGTTCCAAATGATTTGTTTAATAGAAACCATCCAGCTTTTTCGACAATTCTTCGTGAACTGATTGACAGTGCTTTGAATAATCAAAACAAATACCCAACGACCCACCGTTATTCGGAAAAGTTAATGGAATTTTCGATCTATCTTTACCTCATGGCTGGAAAAGCATGTTATGAAACAATATCGCAAAATCTTCCAATGCCGGTTGCAGGAACAATTCGTAAGTTGCATTTTGTATTTTTTTTTTTCATTTAATTTGTTCTCGAGTTATTTCATTAATTGCTGTTTCGTTCTCAGTGAATCGTATCCATACACACAAGGAAAGGATCGTAGAAGGTGATTTGCGTTGTGAAGCACTCTCTAAACATTTAGAAAGAACTAATTCACCAAAATCGATTTTCATATCCGAAGACGGATCCGGTGTTGTGAAGAAAGTCGTTTACGACTCACATTCAAATCAGTTAGTAGGACTGGTTTTACCGATAAATGAAAAGAATGGAATGCCAATTATATGTTCATTTAAAGCCGATTCCGCTGAATTAATAAAAAAACATATGGAAGAACCTCAGTCAACTTTAATATATATAGTAGTGGCTAAAATACTAAACGAAAAAGTAGCACCGTTCATACTCCAAATATTTGGAACGGATAACAAATTCGAAGCCCCCTCAGTGCTGAAGCGATGGATGCAAACTGAATATGAACTCAAAAAGTAATTTCATGTGTTAAATATTTTTGTTTACCGAAAATTAGGTCCCAATTCATTTAAAAAATGTATTTACGAAATTTGATATATTTTATAGGTACGGAATCGAAGTGATTGGTTTTGCTTCCGATGGAGACAATCGCCTATTAAAGGCTATGAAAGCAAGGATGAGATTCAATTTAGCTCCCGACATAAATATAATTAAATGTTCTGATGCAGGACCCATTTGTGTTCAAGATACTATACATATCGGGACAAAATTGAGAAATCGTCTCTTAAACAAATCAATCGTACTCTATATAGGCAATAAAATTGTTTCGACGGTTCATATCAATACGCTGCTTGACACCGTTACAAAAGATGTCCATGGGTTATTTAAATCTGATATTGTTCCTGAAGACAGGCAAAATTATAGATCCCTTGAAAAATTGATGGAAGATCGCGTCTCAAATGCTTTGAAAAAATACGTACCAGATTCCGAGGCAACTGTTATGTATTTATCAATATGCAAACATATAACGTCGTCTTATGTACAGTCGAATTTATCGCCAGTCAAACGTATTTATAACATTTGGTATGCACTGTATTTTCTGAGATGTTGGCGTAAATGGCTTCTTTCCCAGAAAGATTATTCACTGAAAGACAATTTCATATCTAATAATGCATTCATTTGCGTGGAAATTAACGCACACGCATTAATAGAAATTATAGTGAAATTACGTTCTAGGAATCAAGCAAGTCTTTTCCAACCGTTATCGTTTTCAAGTCAACCATGCGAAAGTATTTTTCGCTTGATGCGATCAATGGGAACGATTAATTTCACTAAAATTAATTTCAATGTACATGAATTACTCCATATGATAGCCCGTGTAGAAATGACGCATAAAATTGCTTATTCTAACAAAGATATAACATTTGCAAGAATTGATCCAGAAATTCAGGATGAAACTAAACCTAGTTTGTTTCAATTGCCATCAGATCAACAAATTTTGAATGAAATGGAAAAAGCACGTAAAAATGCACTTAAAAAGGTTGCGGAGTTTGGCATACTTTTCAGTGCAAATGATATTACTCATAATATGGAATTACAACGTGCTAAAGAGAAAACTGCAATAGCCATGATGAAAACATTTTCGTTTGAATGCGACCCGGAGTTGGACGCAAATTTGGAGGAAGAATCCGACTCAGAGTGTACACCAGAAAAAACCATAGATGTGATTGATTCAGACGGAAAGGTGAAAAATATCCATAAGAGCACATTTTTATGGATAATTTCTGAATTCAAGGAGAAATTGAGCACGGATCGGTTGAAACGAGTTCGAGAGACCACCAGCACAGACACAAATTCGTCTCGAAAAAAGTTAAAATCTGGGTTAAAACCAAATGACGTTTTTAATGATGGGCCTAGTGATGGGCCAAATGCTAGGCCAAATGTATTTAAACTAAAGGAACTGAAAATTGGTGATTGGGCATTATTTGATTTGGACGAACGTGCGATTCCCTCAAGCTTCAAGACTGACCAACAAAATGGACACTTCATCGCAAATGTGATAGGTTTTCGAAAAATTGATGATCTAGTTGATGATGATAAGCAAAATCGCTCGAAACCTAGCCCGAAACATTACAAAGTGAGCCATGTGCTGATGGAAAAACTAACTAATAAGAAGAGCATAGAAGTTTTAGCCATTTGGTATTTATGTCAAGAAAACAAAATTTTGAAACACTGTAATGGAAAATTAACAGTTTTAATTGAAAAGTACATCGGTACAATCAAACCGCCCCTCGTCAAAGCCGACTCAGGAATTGTTAATAATGTTTTAAATTTCGAATACTCTGAACTAGAAAGTTTTATACGTGATGCCACTCCAATAACTATCTAGTGCAATAAGCATTCAATTTTTTGACCTAATTGATTGTACGATTTATTTTTATAGCTGAATACTATACAATAAAAAAACATTGTCAATTCGTAAGCCAATTCGGAAAGTTGTTTTTCTGTGTTTATAAGAATATCTGCTTTCGAGAAGTAATTTCTACATGCAATATGTGTTTATTTTGAAAATGGTAAGTATTGAAATCTAGACTGAAATAGTGAAAGACTAGGTGAAAGATGGATAGGAAATGAAAATGCCATAGAAAATTCCATTTAAATGAAAACTAGCCAGAGAACTAGTGTTGTATTTTCATGATTTTTAGTACACATTTTCAAGCTCTTCGTTTTATCTTAATGTTTTGAAACTACAAAGAAATCAAACTATAGCGAACTATTTATTTATTAATTAAAGGATTTATTGTTATTTTTTAGTGATTTTATGGAACCAATTGGAACCAAATAATTTCGTATATAATTACCATATAGGAACCATATATATTTTCATGAACAAATATACCTAAAAGTATATGGTTCCGCCTGGTTCTAAAACCAAACTTGTCCAAAACTTCATAACTATGGAATCTTCCGTGTTATATCAGAGACTAGATCAACGATGATCATAACATCAAGATATGGCTGAAGCAGTTAACAATATTCACTAAAATCCAGACTAAAATGAATTGACATTGATTCTGTAGGGAAAATGTGTTTGTTCAATATTTATTATATTCTGTTGTCTTATACTAGGTCTTATACAAATAGATTCATATTAGCATTTATTGCCTTATATTAATAAGATGAACAAGAATGAAAAATGAAAATAGAAAAATATATTGTAGTTATTTTCTACTTTTGTCTAGACTTTTGTTTATTCGTTTTTCAAGTTGTTTTTGTTTTCAACCACTTCATGAGGCAAGTTGAACAATGGTTAATCGAGCCTATCTAGGAGCCTATAGTCCAGCAAGGGCTGGGGCGCATTTTAATCGTCCAAAGATATTACGGTAGAAATATCATCAATTTGAGCGTGGCCGTAAATTGGACATATATCTTCTTCATCGTCTTCATATTCTTCTTCCATTTTCATTCGTTTATTCTTCGATGTTAGAGACATAACAACACTGTTCTTGTGATCATCGATTTCAATTTCTTTGAGCTGAGCGAGTTTGCTGGTCATTTCTGATATTTCATTTTCGGTGAAGCCCTCTACGCGATTAATATTTAGCATCACTTGGTTTTTTGACTTTTTATCAGTCGCTGTGACCATAATTTCACCTGCTTCATCGATTTGCAAGAAAATTTCAATAATTCCTTGACCTTTTGGTGATTCTGCTAGTCCTTTTAAGGTAACCGAACCGAGAAGCTGATTGCCAATCATTTTTCGTTGTTCTCCTTCGAAAATCATGATTTTGGCGTTCCGTTGATTGTTCTTTATCGTTTTTCCAATTATGTTTTTAGAGGTCGGTAAAGCTGAATTCCTTTTCACAAGTGGTTGACAGGGAAATTCTTTGTTTGCGCCAATCATACCGATGGTGAGCGGTGTAACATTTCGCGTATAAATTGGAGGCGCATCTTTCTTGCCAGTCAGGGCTGCAGCCTGAATACATGCTCCATATGCCACTGAAAGAAAATAATAATTAAGCATATAATAAATAATAACAATAAAGCTGTATTCGAAAAATATCAGCATTTTATTAAAATATCCACCTTAATTAAAGCATTATGATCTAACAGTTTCAAAAATGAAGGAATCAAATAGCTGACATATTTTTGACAACTTAGATGATAATGATTACGAATAATTTGGTGATTATTTTCAAAACTTTTAGCATCGAATTAATAAAAACTTACCTGCTTCCATTGGATTTATTTTGGTATTCCCTTCTTTATTGAAAAAAGACCGAAGCTGTTTGCGAATCAATGGCGTATATGTTCCTCCGCCGACTAGAACTATATGATTTATATCTTCTACTTCCATATCCGCATCATCAACGGCATTTTTAACGCACTGCATCGTTTTCTCGACCATCGGTTCGATGAGCTGTTCGTATTCGGTTCTTTTGATGGGGATCTTCTGATCGCCTATGGTAATGATGGTTTCTTCATCCGTGGATAGTTTTATTTTAGCCTCTTCACAGGCGGCTCGAATAATGACCATTTGTTCTATACCGATGGTCATTTTTCCAATCATTTCAATCAATTTTTTGATGCATAAACGCATCAAAACGTCAACGAATTTGGCACCCCCAAGTCTCGTATTACCATTTGTGGATCGCACATGGTGCATGCCAAATGGAGTAATTGAGACGATCGCTGTATCAAAGGTTCCACCACCTGAAAAAAATGAAACAAAATATTGAACATCTATTTTCCAATTATGTTATTTATGTTTAATATCATTTTTTTATTAAATACTTAAAGTTACTAATTACCAAGGTCGTACACCAATACGTTTTGTTCTTCGTCTCCTTTAATCAAACGTCCAAAAGCTAATGCAGCAGCCACTGGTTCACTCAAAACATTAAGCACGTTAAGCCCAGCAATTCTGCCAGCACTTTTTGTGGCTTCTCGCTTTGCATCATTGAAATAGGCCGGTACCGTTATAACAGCATCTTTTACCTTAGAGAGGGAAAAAACAAGGCAATAACATTGAACCGCATGGAATTGGTAAAGCAGAGCGTGAAATTTAATTATTTGCAATTATGATATATATATTACCTCTCGTTTGATGTACATTTCAGCAGATTCTTTCAAGTTTCTTAGAACAATCGCCGAAATTTCTTCGGGGTGCATCAAATTTACATCATTTCCGATGTTCACTTGGTACATCGGTTTTTCGTTTCTATTCACCAGAGAGAATGGCCAAAATTTTGTGTCTTTTTGAACAGTATCGTACTTTTGACCAATCACTCTTTTTGCTTCGTAAATAGTATTTTTCGGATTTTTTGTTTGCTGTGCAATTGCTGAATTTCCTACGAAAACACCATCATGATTGAATCCAACACACGACGGTGTTGTGTTTTCTTTACATTTATTTGGCACTATTATTATGTCGCCTTCTTGCCAAATGGCTACACATGAATTTGTGGTGCCCAAATCTATTCCAATTACTGTTGTATCAGACATTTCTGACAATGATAACACTGATTATTTGAGATTATTTTCAACCAAATTAAATTAAATTAAATCGATACCAAATCAAACGCTTGTTCACGATGTTTCAACAAAAAAAATAGGGTTACTTCAACATCTCAAAGAAAATTTGTGTGATCGTACGTTTCCTTACGTAAACCTGAACCAAGCGCCATCTGTCAATTTGACAGCTAGTTTGACAGTTTCTCATGTGCCAAAAAAAAGTTATAGTCGATTTGAGTTTTTTTGTTTCTATGTTTTGAGTTATTCAAATAAATGTAAAAAAAAATTAAAGACAGAAAATTTTGATACAAATTATGAATCTATCAAAACCTCGTGGTTTTTCAAATTCAAAATTCTTCGAACTACCAGAATCATTGGAAGGATTCGAGCAAGTGCGAAAATGGCTTTGTTATCATTGTAAAAAGGTATAGTATATTGATAAATGATTTTGAATTAAACATGGATGCAAAATAAATTGTTAATTTTGATGTATTTCATTAAAATTGCAGCATCTTAAATCAGATTCACCGACAAGGGAGTCATTGTCAAAATTGCTCGTTTCATTCATAAAATTTCAAGAGATTCGTTTCGGTAAGGGTGCTACAGAACGTCCACCATCAACACGATTGCCTATGCGATGCTTCTACGATTTTAATCCCGGTGGCAGTTTATGTCATATTTTTGCAATTATGTATCGTTACAAAGCTGAGCAAAGCTGGAAAAAAATTGAATTCGATTTGACTCAGGCAACGTACAAAAACAACAATCATATCAATGATCAAACCATTAAAATGGCCCTCGAAATCGAGACAAAATTAATTGACCTAAAGTGTTTTCGTTTGCCAACTGTATTTATTCGGCCAGAGGTTGCTGATGAAGTTCGTAAACGAATTACGGATATCTTGGAAAGACGTCAAGGTGAAATTACTGAAGATGAAGAAGAAGCAACGCACATCATTTATCCAGAAACCGAAACAGACGAGAACTATGCACAACCATCATACAAACATGGAAAAAATGTCATGATTCATTGGCATTGTATGCCAGAATCATATGATTTATTGTTGGCGAACACATTTGAATTGCCGGTATTTATATATCACCTAGAATTTATAAAATGGTTAACACTTTTCTTTATTTTGAATGTGATTTAATAAAATTTCATTTTCGGTTTATTAGGATGATATTTCTGAAAGCATCAGTCCATCTCAAGATTTAAATCGAAATGTTTGGCGTATCGCAGCCAATTGGGTATTGGATTTGGAGGAGTACAACGAATGGATGGCTGAAAAGGATTATGAAGTCGACGAAAAAGGTGCAAAGAAAGTTCATGGAGAAGATATGGTATACAAAAGAAAAGTCTTGGCAAATAAACGAAAAAGAGGTCGTTCACCATCTTCTGCCAAAACCAAAACTAATACCAAAACGACGACCATACGTGAGCAAAAGCCTGGGCAAAAACTAGCGAAGGCTCAGTGTCCTGATTGTAACAAAATCATGACCGTCAAAGCACTTGAAAGACACGCAAAAGAACAACATTCCAATAAAGTTTTCAAGTGCGAATTTTGCGGAATCCAAAAGAGAAGAGAATCTGCACTTAAAGACCATCAACGAAGGAAGCATTATGAACCAAGTGATATCGGGCGTCCAAAGAAAAACACCATCGTGTCGCGTCGGAAACGAAGTCCTTTTCGAATTGACGTTTTTGAAATACGTTACGGGAGATCTAGCGAGAGATCACTCGAAGCAATCGAAAAGAATTCAGAGATGGAAAAAGCGATGAAAAGAAATAACGAACAAATACTTGAAATGGATAAAAAATTGGAAGAAACGCTCGAAAATAGCGCGGCAACTTCAAACAGATTAAAAGTTTTAGAAAGTTTGAAGAAAAAAGAAGAAAATGAAACCCAAATGATGAAATCTCGCATCACTTTATTAGAAAGCCGACAAAATGTAGTCGAATTGCCTAGCTTAAAAAACATTCCTGATCTTTTGAAGTTTCTCAATCTGAATTCTTCGTCGTCGAAAGAGGATATAAGAACAGCAATTAATTTACGTTTGATGGAAGTCAGTCCCCAGTCTAACGTAAGCAATCAAATTTACACCACGAAGAAAATGACAAAAGAAAAGAAATTGGAAATGTCCATTTTTTATAATGATGCAAACGACGTGCTCATGAATTGGTTTAAAAGAAAAACAACTGAGCAAATAATTCAGATTAACTAGGCAATTAATTCGGATCCTATCATTATAAGGAAATAAGTAGCATTTATATGAATCTATTTGGATAAGACAACGGAAATCAGAACAGAATAGAATAGACTAGAGAATAGATATTGAACACGCACGTTTTCCCTACAGAATAGAATGAATTTAGGAATGAATTGACCCTAGCATTTACCATATTGGAACCATACCATTTATTCATGAAAAAGATATGGTTACTGCATGGTAATTATATATGAAAATATTTGGTTCCAATGGGTTCCATAGAAAGAATTTTACATGCACGAAGTCTAGCACGAACTGCATGCTTCCAAGCATATCCAAGCTAAAAATTGCTAAAAAAATAGTTATTTAAAAATAAATCATTAGTTAATTGATAAATAAAATACTATTTGAACCTGTTTGCACCTAGGTTTGCACTAAATATTTTTCTATAATTCACGATGATTACATGAAAACAAAAAAAAGCAATAAGAACTCTATCTGATGACTAGATACTTTCTATCAAGCTTTCTATGGTTATATTAAAATCATTGTAAGCAATAAACTCTAATAAACGTTATACAGAATCGAATATTATGGACATAAAATGTGTGTTTGTTGTTTTTATCCTAGTTTTCATCTTTTTTGAAATTTAGTTTCCGAACATACCCGAATTTTAAAAGAGTTGAAATGATTCAAATTTATAAATGTATGGTATGTATAAGGCGATACGACACAAAGCTACACACAAAGTACAATGTGTTGTTTGTTTCGCTAGTCTGTCGAAAAACATCAACAAAAATCTGCAAAAGACGCTGACCTATAGCCTAGCCTATAGCATTCACCATTCATTTGAATACAATATTGCTAGCAATATTGTGTGCTAGATTGTGTGTGACACGTCATTTGAAGTTAATTATTAAAATGAGTGTATTACCGGGTTTTCTATCATTCATGTCTTGATAAACTTGATCGGAAGTGGTCAACAACAGAATCTACGAGCCACTTCCGATGGAAATGTGTATGGTAAAAGGGCCAAATGATAAATGGCTAGATAAATGGTATCGTTGCAAGAACTTGTGCAAAGGTGATCGCCTGGACTCAGCATTTTTTTATTGTATGGATTATGGCTGCAATTTGGAAGTGGATAACAAGGATATTCGCGTAAGTACGGCAATGACTATTACAGATAATATTTATGATTGCCAAAAAAATCGGGCATTTTTCAAATTATAAGTGATTTAGAGTTCACAAACATTTTTACGGGCTCACAATCGAAATGTGTTTGCTATTAGGTTTTCTATTCTTTGATTCGAGCAAAGGATGTAAAACACTTGGGCGGACGCCATCGCGTTATTGATATTTTATGAACTGTGTGAATTCATATGTGAAATACAACCGTTTTCAAGATAATAACCAACACAAAATAAACATATAAGTTTATTATCAATATTAAAATTCAACTAAACTATCAATATTAAAATCAAAATGATCTAGAAAATGATATAATCTAAAGTTGACTATTTTATTTATTATTGCCCCATTTTATGTACATTATTAATGCGTTCAATTCGCATGAGTTGATGGTGTTTCTCTGGTGATGCTTTTATCTAGGCTTTTACAAAAACAAAAAACCTAACATAAAACGTTCTGAGTTCTGATTGTGCCATTACTATTAATTTAATCTGTGTAAATTCATTTATTTATAATAATTTAAATCTGTATATTTATTTATTACATTTTCACTTTTTCATTTGGTTTACATAGATCAAATACAGATTTTTACAATCCAATTTGACAAAAAAAATCAAGTATAGATATAGAGTAGTTTGTCCTATATTCCGAATTAGGTTTTGAAACCAGTTTTTACGTTTATATATCACACTAAATATCACACAAAAATTAGATCACGATACAAAGTTAGATACGAATTAAATTAAATTAGTCCAAATTACATTTTTGATCTATGTTTTGGTATGGTTCAGTCTAGGGTTCTATTCTGATTTTTAAATATTACCTAGCACGAAACTTCAAATGCTATGTCACATGTGAGATTGATTATGCTTAGGATTATGCTCGCAGAGCTAAGAAGTCAAAGTCTCGGTCAAAATTTAGTTCATAGCCTAAAGAGTTTTTCAAGGATTCTTTGATGCAAATGTGTGCCATTTTATTATTGCTTATCGCTGGGCTTATCGTCTAAGCTATGCTTTATACGCTAGTTCATACGCTTTTCTTCAAAATACTTTTCGATCAAAACTCTGACACGTTCAACTCTCTCGCCGTCTAGTTCGCTGTTACTAGTTCGAATCAACATAAGATCTGAAAAAGTCAAATTGATTGAAATATTATTTTTGGGCCTTGGAAACTTATTAAAAAAGATTTCTGTCGGTTTACTTACGATGTAAAAATTGCCAAGCATTTTGTTCAACTGCAGGATCAATTTGCCCACTTACGATTTGATCATTTGGAATGATGGATAGGAAAACTGACAAGGCAAACAGGTAATCCAAACTGCGATCATCTATATTTGGAGCTGAATTCCATTCCAACAAATTAGTCAAGACTTCTTTATGAATTTCGATGAACCGATCGCCAATTTTGTAAATACGACCATTTTTCTAAAAATATTAAAACAGATAAATGATAGCTTATTGAATTTGTTATGTGTCTAAAACATAATAAAATTGAGTTTAAATCTAAATTAAAGACAACGCTTCTTATCCAATCAATTGAGAATCATTGTCGTTGACTTGGCTGTTATTTTCTATCTATTAATCGCGAAT